ACCCAAAAAAGCTCGCTCTCTCCTAACCTGTGGGAGGCGCGGTAGCTCCATACGATAAGCGCTGGACTGCGAACCACAAAGTCCGTGGTTCGAGCCCGCCAGCCGCTCCGTGGGGAAAAGATGAGGCTTTCTGCTCCGGCAAAGATTTGAAGCCTCGAAACCCTATACTATACACTGTCACTATCAGTCGGAACCGACTGACTGCACTTAACTTACAACAATAACTTTACCCTGTGTAACACCCACCCCAACGCCCCTTCAGGCGCCGCAAAGCAGATGGTTCGATTCTGTCTTTAGCCACCAGGTGGCAGCCAACACTAGCGCAGCCTCTGCCGCCACCAAAGGGGCTTCCTTCCTCCAAGGGATTTCTCAATCTCTGAAGTGGGGGTAACCACACACACACACAGTGTGTCTAACGTAGAGATGACCAGAGCGTCTACCCTTTGATTGACCCTCCCAACCACCCACAGAAGTATTGCCTCCTCTTTTAGGGAAACTGAGGTCTTGAGCTTGGAAAAAAGATGTATCAGCTGTCACCCAGCCCAGCACAGGCTAAAGCAGGGCTAGAAACCTCATCTCCTGACTCTCTGTTTCATTCCACAAATATCCAGAGGTCACCTGGCTTTGTCCCAGGATGCTGCTCAAAAATGGGACACAGCCAGGGCTGCAGGGCACCGCTGCCTGAAGCTGCCCGAAGCTGCCCAGTCCAGTCCCGGAGTCTGAGCAGGACCCTGTCCTTAAGGAGACCTATCCCACAACATCCAGGCAGAAAGTAGCAAGAAAAGCAGGATGAGAGCTGCAGCGAGGCTCACAGCGGGCACCCGGTCTGAGTCCTCCGGGTCAGGGCCAGCGTGCCCAGCGTGGCCGGGGGCATCGAGGGGCACATCAGGGGTGCCAGACAGCTGGGTGCCGGAGACCTTGTCTCCTGGGGGCCCCGGTCGACCCATCTGTGGGAGAAGGAAGTAAAGTGGGCCCTTCCCAAGTGCCCACCGTATTGTCCCCTGACCCCCTCCCTCAGGAAGACTTCCTAGACACCCTACTGAGGACACAGGTCAGAGGAGGAGGCCAGGGTGTGCCAGAAGCAACCAGCGAGCCTGAACCTGCACCTGCGTGGAATGGGAATGCGAGAGATAAAAATCAGATGAGATAACGCTGAGATGGAAAAGTCTGGTTCAGCCTCTTAAGAGGACCTTTGCCCAGATGCCAGTAGTACTGGAATGTAGCTAGGCCAGTTTCCCAGATGTGGAAATTGTCAGACTTGTCTGAAGAGACCCAAGTCAACTGCAGAAGAGGTTCTTCCTAGCTGCCCAGTGGTCTCCGTGGCCGGCACCAGGCTACGTCCAATGTACAGATGAGAAGAGTGAGGCACAGCGAGGGGCATGACCTTCCAGGAGGGGGCTCCCGCCCAAGAAGCCCATGAGTGGGCAGACCTGGTCACAGCTGTCTGGGCTCCAGGAACACAGCAGGTGGCTTCCAGGCTCTGGTCTGCAGGTATGTCCGTGAGAATTTCCTTGTTAGGAATCCATAGACCTGGACCAACCAGGGAAGAACATCCAGAAGTTGGGGTGGTGTCTGCCCAGCCCCAGGTGGGACCCCCCCAGGCCCTCTGTCTTTACCCAACTGGCTGTGTGACCCTTTCCCTCTCCAGCCGCCATGTGTACCTGCCAGCCATGGACTTCCCAGGTCCAGGAAAGTGGACCACTCTCCCCAAGAGTAGGCGCCTTTGAATGTTCCACTCCGCCCACAACCTGGGGCCTCCCCCTGGGAGGGGCTGGAGCTGGGGTGACAGGAAAGTGAGGGGCCCCACTAGACCTGAGCCTCCACCCTCACTGGGTGTGTCCAGGGCAGAGAGGAAGGCACCTCTCCAAGATAACCCGCACAACCAGGGACCCCACTCTCAGGCCATTGGTTCTTGTGCTACTCATGCCTCAAGCTTGCCCCAAGCCTGGCCAGGTGGTTAGAGGTGAGGAGAGTTCTTTCTACCAGAGTTGTAATAGCATTAGTAAGTCACCAGTTGTTGGGGCGAAGGATGGCATCTACACAACTGCACCCAACACTCTGATGCAAAACAGACACGTGAGAGAAAGGACGGCAAGCAGAGACAGAGATTGCTCCCTCCCCAACCCCATAGGCTGTGAGGTGGGTGTCCTCCATCACTTGTACAGTGACTAGAATTCCCACCAAAGGACAGCTGGAATCATGCAAAAACAGGCTGTGCGGGACCCTAACTTGGGAGTTGGTAGGTTTTGCCATCAGCAAAGTGGAGACTGGTAATCCTGAACCGTGAAGAGAGAGGAAGCACGCAGGGGGCCTGAGAGCCTGCAGGGGAGGCAGGGCTGGGGAGCAGGGCTGTGAGCTTCCAGGCCCACAGACAGAATCCAGCTGAGCGCCTTTGGCCAGGAGGCTGGTGTGTAGAATTGGCTGCTCTTTGGACATTTATCCGCCGCACTAAGGGATCTTGTACCACTCACCCAAGCAGGGCAGAGGCCACAGGACCACATGGCAGGGAGGTCCAGGACTAGAGAGAGGGGTGCCTGTGGCATGGCTGACCCCCGAGTCTGTTTCCAACCCTGAATCCGCCCCCTTCACTTCCCTAATAAACCTCATCATCTGAGTGTTGTCTCTGAGTGCTCTGTGGCTACTGCAGAGGAGCATGGAACCCAGATGTGAAGCAGAGTGCTGGGGGCGCATCTGTTGGTGTCAGAATAGGGTAAAGGAGGCTGGAGGGGGAAGGCCAGGCTGTCCTCCACCTCAGGCATTGGCCTTGAGCTGATGTGGAGTTTGATTCTCCTTCCCTTTGTGAAGGGGGGGGGGGGGAGGTCAGGCGTGGCTCCCATGCTCCCATGCTGTTTTTACATCCTTGTTCCCCATTTTCTCAAGCGTTCTTGATGTTGGATGCCATCGAGTCTGTTCTGACTCATAGAGATCCAGTGTGGCAGAGTAGAACTGCTTCTTAGGGTCTTTTCTTGCTCAGAGCTGGTGGGTGAGTTCGAACCACCAACCACCCTTTAGTTTAGCAGCCAAGTGCTGAGCCAGGATACTACAGTAGCATTGCAATGATAATATTGTTGTTACATGCTGTCAGGTCAGTTCTGACTCACAGCCACCCTGTATAGGGTTTCTGAGGAGTGACTTTAAACTGCCAGTCTTGTGTTTAGCAGTCCAATGCTTATCCTACAGCACCAAAAGGGAATTAATAATGTTTTTAAAGTGTTACTATTCCGATAGGTGAAATTTGGAAATTGCCCACATTTCCAACGACAGGATCCAATTAAATGTGTAAGTGGTACATTCCACCCATAGAATGTGGTATCATTTGCTCTGTGGCACTACGGGTTAGGCATTGGCTGGCGGTTCCTTGGTCTGCTCCAAGGATGGAAGACCAAGTTGTCCCCTCAAGATTTACAGTCTCGGGCATCCTCTATAGGGTTGCTCTATGTTGGAATCACCTCCATGGCAGTGAGTTTTTGTTGTTGTTGTTGATTTTGTAATGTTGTTGTTGTTTTTGTTATGTTCCGTGGAGTCGGTTGCGACCCATAGCGACCCTGCACAGGGTTTCCGAGGCTGTAAATCTTTACAGGAGCAGAAAGCCTCCTCTTTCTCCCATGGAACAGCTGGTAGTTTTGAACTGCTGACCTTGCAGTTCACAGGCCAATTTGTAACCACTACGCTACCAGAGATGGAGGCATTGAAAAGGTCATAAGTTATTGATTGTGTGACATAGAAGGACAGGCCTCAGGGAATTCTGTTTCTGTTTTCTTATTTCACTCCCTGACCTGGATGATTTTCGACAAGCTATTTCCACCCTCAGAAACAGGCAGAAATCAGGAACTAAAGGTCTCACCCCCTAGGGTCCAAGGTGCCCACTGTGCACCCTTCCTCCTCGTCACCCCAAAATCCTCCCACAGGGACGTGGTGGGACTAGAATGGCTCTTGTGTTAGGCGGCGGTTAGCCTTCCTTGTTGTTGTTGTTGTGTGCCGTGGAGCCGTGTCCAACCCATAGCAACCCTGTACCGGGTTTCCGAGGCTGTAAATCTTTAGGGAGCTCTGGTAGCATAGTGGTAACGAATCCAGCTGCGAACTGCAAGGTCAGCAGTTCAAAACTACCAGCTGTTCTGCGGGAGAAAGATGAAGCTTTCTGCTCCCGTAAATTGAGTGCCGTCGAGTCTAATCTGACCCACAGTGACCCTGGGCAGGGTTTCCGAGGCTGTAAATCTTTACGGGAGCAGAAAGCCTGATCTTTCTCCCGCGGAACGGCTGGTAGTTTCGAACTGCTGACCTTAAGGATCGCAGCCCGATTCGTAACCACTACGCTACCAGAGCTCCTTATTGTATATATATATATGTTGGTATGCGGCATGGAATCGGTTCCGACTAATAGAGATCCTGTACAGTGTTTCCAAGGCTGTAAATCTTAGGGAACAGAAAGCCTCATCTTTCTCCCATGGAAGAGCTGGTAGTTTCGAGCCTTCCTTGGGAGGATTACAATTCTTCCCCGTCTGCCTATGTGCTGTGTGACCCTGACAAGTCAGTCGGCCTCTCTGAGCTTCTTCTGTCCTGTATAGAAAGGGGTGGCGCCGAGTCGCCGTGTAGGTGCAGCCGACTCTGATTTCAAAGCCCGTGGCTCAGCACTGGTGCTCCGGGAACTGCCAGACCGCACGCGGTGCAGAACAGACCCACAGGTAAGGGCTTCGCTTCGGGGTCCCCCCTCGGGTGTTGGGTTATCCCATCCGGCAGAGGAGTGGTAGGCGAGCTGAGGAAGCCCTGGCCCCGCCCGGGCAGAGGGCGCGGCCCTCATCCGAGCATCTGCGAGCGAGCGGCCTTCCCATTGGCGAGCGCCGGCTGTGTGAGCCAGACATCAGCCAATCGTAGTTGGGGGCGGGGCCTGGCGTCTGGTCCTGCGCGAGTCCAGTGGGCCGGATGCCGGGCGGGGCACTGCAGCCAGAGCGCATCCTTTCCGTGGCTGCTCGGAGCTGGGTGCCTTGACCACAGAGACAGCCATGCAGGAGCCCCTGTTGGGAGCCGAGGGCCCGGGTTATGACACCTTCTCCGAGAGGCCGCCCCCGGCGCCGGGGGACAGGGCGTGGGTCAGGTGAGAGTCGCTGAGCATGGGCTGAGGGCGGGGGCTGGCTGGATCCTGCCCTGGGCATCCTTGACCTTCAGAGGGTGATCACCAACAGGCTAGCTAGCCCTATCCTGCTCCAAAAGCTCTGGTCATGTAAGAAATCAATCCCCACCTGCACAGTCCGCAAGGACAGGGCTCAGAGAGGGCAAGGGGCTGACCTAAGGTCACACAGCAATTCCTGCCTGACAGAGCTGGGCCCCAAATCAAAGCCTCCTCACGCCTGGAAAAGAGATCCCCCAGCGCCAGTGTCTGAGGACAACTGAGCTGCCAAGACTGCCATCTGGCCTTACAGTTCCCCAGGAGAGATGGTACCTGGGCCTCAGCCCAGGCCTCTCTGCCAGGCCCAGTGAGCTCTAGGGAAGGCAGCAGTGGTGGAGGGGGACTCAAACCCTGGTCCTTCTGCCCCCAGAATCCAGCACAACAAAAGAGTGTTCCTGGCCACCTTCGCTGCAGTCCTGGGCAATTTCAGCTTCGGATACGCCTTGGTGTATACCTCCCCTGTCATTCCGGCTCTGGAACACACCTCAGACCCTGACTTGCGCCTGACTAAAGACCAAGCCTCCTGGTTCGGGGTAAGGGCCATGCTCTGAACTGGAGGGGTGGGAGTGGGGGTGTGGCCCGCTGAGTTCTGCCCCTAGCTAGGGACCCCTCCAAAGCTTAGGACTTCCCCAGGCCTGGACTGCCTGCCCCTCCCCTACCCACTCCAGGCTGCTTGTGGGTTGGGGGAGCAGATGATGCCCTGAAACCGAAAGGGGAAGTGAAGCTGATGTGGAAGGCATGGGAAAGAGTGGGGAGGTGTCCCAGACCACACCCGCGGCTGGCCCTCAGGCAATGGAGCTCTGGCTAGGGCAAAAAGATCCCTGACCCAGTCACACACACACAGACTATGAATAGCTGACAGACAAACACACTGCCATTAACTAGAATCCAACTCATAGGCGCTGTGTAGGGCAGAGCAGAACAGCTCTGGAGGATTTCCGAGATGAAATCTGTACCTCAGCAGACAGCCTCATCTTTCTCCCACAGAGCAGCTGGTGAGTTCCAACAGCCAATCTTGAAGTTAGCAGCCCAACACTTAACCCACTGTGCCACCAGGGATCCTCCAACAAATGAACAGAGAAAGCCTAAGGGTCTAGAATTATCTTAAACTCATCGCTAGAGTTGAATCTGGTAGCGTAGTGGTTACGAATCGGGCTGCGAACCTCAGGGTCACCAGTTCGAAACTACCAGCTATTCCACGGGAGAAAGATGAGGCTTTCTGCTCCCGTAAAGATTTATAGCCTCAGAAACCCTTGTACAGGGTCACTATGGGTTGGAAACGACTTCACGGCACATAACAACCACCACCACCACCTAGATAGGATTTTTAAGACTAAATCTTTACAAGGACTGACAGCCTCAAAGCACCTGGTGAGTTTGAACTATTGACACCTAAATCACAACATCACCAGGGGTCCTTAGAATTTGTTGTTGTTGTTAAGTCCCAACCCATAGCAACTCTGCATTAGGTTTCTGAGGAGTGGCTGGTGAGCTTGAACCGCCGACCCTGAATTGTAGAGTTACAATATATTGGTTAAACTAAGTGCTCACCTGCTGATCAAAAGTTTTGGAGGTTCAAGTCCACCCAGAGATGGTTTAGAAGAAAGGCCTAGTGAACTAGTTCCAAAACTTCAGCCAATGAAAACATTATGGAATACAGTTCAACTCTGACACACATTGGGGTGCCATGAATCGACCCCAAAACAAATGGTTCTATTATTTTTACTGATGGAGGGTGTACCAGACCCTTAACATGCGGACTTCCTGACATCCAGGGCAACCCTATGAGGTAGGCACCGGCATACTCTTCATACTATAGCTGGGGAAACTTGAGACCCAAGTTGCAGAGTCCTCTACGCTGAACTCAAGATTGGTGGAATGACAGTTCTGGTCACTCCATCCACCCCATGGGGACTTTGAGAACTCCCAAATCTCTAGCCCTGGAGGGCGTCTCATCCCAGAATTTTCCTGAATTGACAGAACCACCATGGACATATGCTCCATCCCTTCCTCCCCAAAGCAGAACTCTCTCTGCAATATTCCTAACAAATCCTTGTCCACAGCTGCTTGTACACCTCCATGGACAGGGGGCTCACTACCATCAGTTGCCTGAGTCCTGGGGTCTGTGACCAGCTTGTTCGCCCGGCGCCCTTTCTCCACAGTCTGTGTTCACCTTGGGTGCAGCGGCCGGTGGCTTCAGTGCCATGCTGTTCAACGATCTGCTGGGGAGGAAGCTGAGCATCATGTTCTCAGCCGTGCCCTCGGCAGCTGGTTATGCGCTCATGGCGGGCGCTCATCGCTTCTGGATGCTACTTCTGGGGAGAACACTGACGGGCTTCGCCGGGGGGCTCACAGCTGCCTGCATCCCGGTAAGGCCAGGAGGTTCCCCTTCCGCTAAGACTTCCAGGTACCCGTGCCCACTGGTCAGTAAGGGGCCTCCTCCACCAGGGCAGCTACTTTGGGGAAATCTTTGTCATATCCCCAGATGCCTCCACTCTCAAATCCCCAAGCTTCCTACTATTTTTGATCATGGGCAGATTTCCCCAGTTGAATAACATTATTCAACTGGGGAAATTCCACACTGAGCAAGGGGAAGGAAGTTACTGGCTGTGTATGCCCTCCCTGGACACTTCTTTTATCTAGTGTTGCATACACCATCAGCTGGTTTGAGGGAAGTGCAGTGGGGGGGGGCGGGACAGGGGCACGTGGAGGGAACCAACATGGTCTGCTGCCGTCTGGTACCTTAATACACTTTCCAAGCAAACCTAAAGGCACAGCCATCGAATTGATCCTCCCCATAGTCAGCCTATAAGGACAGAGTAGAACTGCCCCATAGGGTTTCTTGACAAGAGCAGGCAGGTTCATCTTTCTCCCTTAGATTGGCTGGTGAGTTTGAACTGCCGACTTTTCAGATAGCAGCCTATAAGACTCCTTTTCGGGTACTCTTGTTGAGAGTCTTTGAGGTGGTTCCTACTCATAACAACCCCATATAGGGTTTCCAAGGCTGTAGATCTTTACAAGAGCAGAAGAAGTCTCATCTTTCATCCTTGGGCCAGCTTAATTCCTAGCATCTGCCCGCTTGACAGTTAGGGAAACTGAGGCCCGAGGAAGGTCAGGCAGTGACTCATGAGATGCCCTATCCAGTTGCTCAGGTCCGCGAGTCTGTATTCCTCACACCACAAATGCTGTGTCTTGCAGGTCTATGTGTCTGAGATCTCAACCCCCAGAGTTCGCGGGGCCCTGGGGGCCACACCTCAGCTCATGGCAGTGTTTGGGTCCCTGTCGCTGTATGCTCTTGGCAAGTGACCGTCAGACAAGTGCTGAGTACTTCCAGGGTGCAGGTGTTGGGGAGAGGGAGCATGTAGCCCCAGAAAGAGCCCTGGGCACCATGGTCTCCTGGCAGTGTCCCTCCTGTCGGGGCAGGACGGACTTCTCTGGGCTGCAGTCTTCAAGGCATCTTTCAGCCTAGAATACTCTCAGCAAATATAGTCTTCTGTGGGAGGCCTTACAGAAAGGAGGTCAACGCTCAGCTGCTTGGGTCGGGGTGGAGGCCAGGGACCCCTGCCTGCTTTACCTGTCCTTCCCTCACACTGTCATGGCCCCTGCGACACTCCAGGGAACTGCCACTATGTGCTGGACCCTGTACTAGAGGCTGGACAGTCCCTTCAGCTGTTCCTTGCCTAGATCACCCAGGCCTGGGCAATCAGGGAGGACTTCTTGTAGGAGGTATTGAGACCTTGAATGATAGATGAGGTTGCTGAGAGGCCCCATGGGAGGGGGCTCTGTGACCAGCCTGAACCCCTGACCCTGATCCAGCCTCGCCCCTAGGCCTGCGGCTGCCGTGGCGCTGGCTGGCTGTGGCTGGCGAGGGGCCTGTGTTCATCATGATCCTCCTACTCAGTTTCATGCCCAACTCGCCACGCTTCCTGCTCTCACGGGGCAGGAATGAGGAGGCCCTGAAGGCGCTGACCTGGCTGCGCGGGGCCCACACCGATGTCCACTGGGAGTTTGAGCAGATCCGTGACAATATCCAAAGACAGGTGGGGGGCCCCAAGTTCTCTGTAGCCTTGGCCTTCCTGAGCCTTCATTGCTTTTTCTGGAAGACGGGAAGAGTGGGAGTCCCAGCCCCCCAGGACTGGGGTGAGGGGATGGTGGACCTGGCCCAGAGCAGTGGACACCAGGCGCGGGAGTGGGGGGGACAGTACATACTCCCTCAACTGAACCCCCTCTCTGGCAGCGCAGAGAAGACCAGGAAGAGGGTCTCCCCTCCAGTCCCACATGGTCTTGGTAAGGCAGCCTGCGGCCGTAACCACACGGCCTCTCAGCTGCAGCCTTGTGTTTTCAGAGCAGCCGCATATCGTGGGCCGAGACCCGGGACCCTCACGTGTACCGACCCATAGCCATCGCCTTGCTGATGCGCTTCCTGCAGCAGCTGACCGGCATCACGCCCATTCTAGTCTACCTGCAGTCTATCTTCGCCAGCACTGCCGTCCTGCTGGTGAGGCCCCGCCCCCCTCGCCGAGGGCCGAAGCGTTTAAGCTGTTTTTGTGCACCACCCACCTGTTCTCAGAATAATATTTTTAGAGTCCCTTCCTGGGGGGACAAACGTGTACCATGCATGGGTGCTAACCGGTGTGAGCCCCAAACACTCGCCATTGAAAATCTCTGCCACATGGGTCATGTGAGTCCGAGTCAACCCAACGGCAACATTTTATTTTTCAATGTTTTAAAGTTCAATAGGCGCTCTGAGGGCTCATGGTTAAATGCTCGGCTTCTAAGCAAAAGGTTGGCAGTTTGAACCCACTGGCCACTCAGTGAGAGTAGATGGGGTGGCAGTCTGTTTCCGTAAAGATAACAGCCTTGGGGTCTGGACAGCTGTGGGTTCAAATAAAATATGCAGGATACCCACCGAAGCCCTTAGGGACCCCTGTAGACCCGCCACTTGGGAGGGCAGTCTCTGGCCACCAAAACCCCACTTCCTCATCTGCAGGTGGAGATAATAGGGTTTGGGCAGGCTGGGGCTCACAGCTAGATGGATTTTGCAGATTAAGAGCCTAGGGGGGTTAGCAGTTGTGGTTCCTGCCCGCCCTGGACTCGGGCTGGAGATCAGGTGGGCAGAATCAGCATGCGGCCCTCCTCCTTGCAGCCCCCCAAGGATGACGCTGCCATTGTCGGGGCGGTGAGACTCTTCTCTGTGCTCATTGCTGCCCTCACCATGGACCTGGCAGGCCGTAAAGTGCTGCTCTTCATCTCAGGTGAGGGCCTCCTGCCACTCAGCATGGCTCTGTGTACTTGGGCTGAATGGGCAGCACCCCGGCCCTGGGCTGGCCCCCTACACACCAGCTCTTTAAAGGGGCCCACTGGAGTGCTCTCCAGAGGGTCTTCAAGCATGATGAGTGGGGTACACAGGATGCTGGTAGGGGGCTCTGGGAGGAACTTCTGTGGGAGGTGCTGCTCATGGACCCCCGGCCCGAGAGAGGGCCACCTGTGTCCCCAGCATCCATCATGTTTGCTGCCAACCTGACCCTGGGACTGTATGTCCACTTGAGCCCGAGGCCACTGGCCCCCAATGGCACCATGGACCTGGAGGGCGCACCCCTGGCCTCACCTACCAACTACCTCACCCTAGTACCTCTGCTGGCCACAATGTTCTTCATCATGGGTAGGCGTGGCTCCCCCGGGGTGGGGGTGGGAGCCTGTGGGGTACCCTGGGTCAGAGCTGAGGGTCTCTCTCTGCAGGCTATGCCATGGGCTGGGGGCCCATCACCTGGCTCCTCATGTCGGAGATCTTGCCCCTGCGGGCCCGTGGCATGGCCTCAGGACTCTGCGTGCTGGTCAGCTGGCTCACAGCCTTTGCCCTCACCAAGTCCTTCCTGCCCGTGGTGGTGAGTGCTCAAGGCCGGTCCCCTCACCCGAGGTGCCTCTGACAGGGAATGTGAGGCTCAAGTGCCCAGGAAGGTCCCAGAGACGGTGGGAAACCTCGGAGGTCTCTGAGTGGGTGAGACCAGGTGTAAACCCCTTGAGGCCGGTTAGTGGGAACAGGGTCCACTGAGCATGTCAGGGTGGGAGGACTTGGGTTCTCCAAGTGACTCTAGACTGCCCTTCTCCCGTAGCATGCCTTCGGCCTGCAGATGCCTTTCTTCTTCTTTGCCACCATCTGCCTGGTGAACCTACTCTTCACTGGCTGCTGCGTGCCTGAGACCAAGGGCCGCTCGCTGGAGCAGATTGAATCCTTCTTCCGCACCGGGAGGAGGTCCTTCCTGCGCTAGGTCGGTGCCTGCTTGAGAGGCCTAGGTGTCGCCCTTACACCCAGGAGGAACTGTAAGATCGGAGCCAGGGCCTGCTGTCCGGCCTCAGCCTCCAGCTCAGGCTGCCACAGTGATGGACACATAGTGAGACCAGCAGGAAGCAGTGGCTGCAGGCACAGGTTGCTCACCAATGTCCAGGGGCTGAGGCCCTCTGGGTAAGGTTGGGCCTTGATCCTGAGGCGTGGAGACCACTCCCAGCCCCCCATAGGGGCCACAGTGAGGCAGGGGTGACTGTGATTTGAGCATTCACCACAAGGCATCTCAGCTCTGGAGAGGACAGTCAGGGTTTGCAATGTGAGGGCCTGTGGGACATCACGGGGTGTTCTGGACTCCCAAGGCATGGGACCCAGCCTGGCCTATTTGTCAATTGTCTTCACCAGGTTTGTAAAATAAAGCTGCCGGGTGTGAGGGTGGTCCTCTGGAGGAAGGCATCTTCCAGGATGGGGAGCCCACTGTTGCCCTGGCAGCTGGACTAGGTCCTGATGTTCAGCCTGGCTCACCAGGGCCGGGGGGCCCCAGCAAGACTCTTTTAGGATCACATCCTACATGTGTCCACATCACAGCAGTGAGGAGACAGCCTGGGAGGGAAAGGCCAGGTCACAAGGTTGGGTTCCTACCCACCCGCCACATGACCAAGCAAGGGTCACTCCTTGGCGCCCATTTCTAGACCAAGATGCAACGATGGGCAGCCTAGAACATGGCTTCTGGACACACCACCTGAGATGTCCACTCATCGGCATGGATGATGTCCCAAGCTGCCCTCCCCCACCTCCCGGCATCCCTGTGGGCAGTAGCAGGCGAGTAGACTAGTGCCTCCTTTATTGCTCAGAACACTGGGAGGCTGGGAACGAATCTGTGGGGGCAGATGCCCGGGCAGGAGCAGGCCACTGCACTCAAGGCTGGGGGCCGTCCCCACTGGAAGTCGGAGCCATGGGCTGTGGGCCTTTAGTCACTAGGAGAGGTGGCAAATGGCCCCTCTGGCCTGTGGGTCTCAGTACCAGGGACCCTTCCCCCTCAGCCCAGCACCCACTCAATCCCCCCTCAGAATAGAGGAAACAGACAGGATGGGTGGGCCGAGCATCCCCTGGAGGTAGACGGCTCTTATCACTGCACAGATAGACACACAGACAGACATACACACGTACACACACAGGGCCCACAGCCCTTGGAACCAGCACTGACCTGAGGAAGGTGGCCTCAGAGGACCCCGGAAGGCACATGTCCTGCTAGGCTGGCCACCCCCTGCCCCACCTGCCACCCAAGGCTCAGCCTGGTTGGGTTGGGGGAGTGGTAAAGAGGTTGACCAGAAACCCACCAACGTTTCAATCCAGTGAGGTCCCTGGCCTCAGAAAACAGCTCTCCTCCCTTCAGCCCCTCCTGGACTCTCATCACAGTGAGCTGGTGCTAGGAGGAGGCTGGACCCGGCCTACCCCACAGACAGGCTGCAATCTCAGCGTCGGGGGTGGGGGGAGCCGGTGCTATGGAGCCCAGCAGGCATGTGGGACAGTGGGGCAGTGGGACAATGTGGTGGGCTCAGTGCAGGGCACCTCGGCCTCTGCCAGTTCCCAAGGCAGGAGCTCAGAGAAGGCAGGGCTGGGGCAGGCCGGGAAGGGAACCTGAATAAGGAAGCAGCCCCGCCCCTGCCCAAGCAGTCTGCTCTCTCCACCACTGAGCCTGTACCGGGGTGGGGAGAGGCTCTGCACGTCCAAGGTTCTAGGCTGCCATGTAGCCTACTCACTGCTGGGGATGTACTTGGGAGTGGCCGTGGAGAAGGGTTCCAACAGAAGGCCCTAGGACTGTCCAGTCACGGGGCAGGGACAAGTCCAAGGTCAATCGGTCTGAAGAATGGTCACTCTGGAATGCCCAGGCTGCCAGTAGCAGGTGGGTGACCTCTGTAGAGGTGGTCTCTCCCAACCTTGGCAGGTCCCCCCGCAAGGTTGTCCCAGCTGCAGAGGCTCTGAAAGCCCACCCAGTACCCACTTCAGGTTGAGCCCTGCTGGCCAGGAGAAGGGGCCAGCCGGCTGTTCCATGATGGGGCCTCCTCTGGCCTGCCTGGCAGAGTCATGGCCAGGAGCTGCCTAGCTGGGAGAAGGGCCACGGAGAAAGAGACCAGGAGGGAGGGACAGGTGCAGAGGGCTGCAGCAGCTGGACTCATCCTCCCTCTGGGATGTCAGAGGGGCAGTCAGCGGAAGGCAGGCTCCATACGGTCACAGCTCCCCATCCTGGGTCTCTGTGAGCATCTCCTCGTCAGCCTGCTGCTTCTGTTGCTGGATCCTGGCATATGAGATGGCGTCGCCCCTGGGAAAAAACGAGGTGGTGTCAGTGACCGTAGGTAGAGATGGAGTCAGGCAGGAAAGAGTGTGGCACTGGGCTGTGACATACGAGGAGCGGAGGCTCTGTGGACCCCCTCACGGAGACCCTCCCTGGGGCTGGGCCCAGCAGACGTACTTTTTGCCCAGAGCAGAAAGTCCATACAGCACTCCAGTGGCGAAGGCGATGGCATTCCCCAGCAGAGTGGTCAGTGTCAGGCTGATGACGATGGGGACGATGGCCATCCTGGGGAAAGATGAGGGTCCAGACTGCCCTCCCAACATAGACAACCCCAGCGCCCAGTGTCCAGGAATGCAGGAAAGACCCATGGAAATGGACAGCCCCACTCAGTGAGCCCGGGAGCAGCCTGCAAGAAACTGCATTTTCAGGGACGGGACACAAAGATTTTGTCAGATTTCTGAAAGGGTCCAGAATCCAAAAGTGAAAAGGGCACCAATGGAGTCCAGTCCCCTCCTTGTTCAGAAACACAGACGAAGCAAGGCCTGGCGAACAGCCAGGACCAGAAAAGCCACCCCCGCAGCTTTGTGAGCGGAGGCAGCCGCTCCTCTGAGGCTCAGCGTCTCTTGTAAACTGGGGCTCAGACTTTGGAATCCGAGGACAAATGTTAGCCCCTTCACACAGTGCCCGGAATCAAACACACTAAATACGCATCACTCCTGACAGGAGCCCTCATGGTGCCATGCTAAGTGTTAGGTCAGTGGTTCAAACCCACTAGCTGCTCTGCAGGAAGCAGATGGGGCATTCTGCTCTATGGTGCAGTTTGCTCTCCTGTCGGGAGTCAGAAGTCAACTGGCTGACAATGGGTTTGCTTTGGTTCCTGACAGTAAAGCCGCCCGTATCTCAACAAGGAAGCCACCCCAATGACAGTGCATTTAACACAGGTTCTCCTTGCTGCACAGTTGATGCAAAGGAGCCAGATCGCTCTGGTCTTAATGTCAGTTTGGCGCACCTGGTGGCACTACCCACTCAGACTTAAATACCCACAGGGCTGATGCTTAACCCTGGAGCTGGCTGGGAATTCCTGAAGTCACTGACCAGGAAAATACTGGCGATGGGAAGGCCAGCACTTTACCTGCCCCTTCCCTCAAGGAAGGGCTTAACAGCTGTGCCCATCTCAACACCTGTCTGCAAGGCAGGACACTGCT